CCCATCGCGACAGTGTGGCGCGCCCCGCTGTGGCTCGAATCCGTCGAAGATCAAGTCTCCGCAGATGTCGGCCGTGTAGTTCAAACTTCCAAATCTGACCTGATGGCCAGGGGCGTAGCTTTCAATCTGCTCCAGATGGCCAAGCGAATTAGCCTGCGGTGCAAAGCCGCCGAATACGAAGATCTGTCCGGGGAGAAAAGTCTCACCCTGGACCGCATCGCCATCGATGATAGTAGGAGCCATCAAGCCTAACGGCGACAACACAGAGGAACTCTCAATGAAAGCACCAATGTCGGTGTCAAAACCGGCGGATCTCGGGTAGGGGGTCCCGAACTGTGCGTCTAGGCCGGATGGTAATAGGAGGCAGGGGACACGAAGTTTTACCCAGGTTCGGGCCCTCTTGATGGAGGTAAAACCCTACGTCATGCTTGATTAATATTGATGATATGGGTAGTACAAGAGTAGATCTACCACGAGATCAGAGAGGCCAAACCCTAGAAGCTAGCCTATGGTATGATTGATGTTGTCCTATGGACTGAAACCCTTCGGTTTATATAGACACCGTAGAGGGTTAGGGTTACACAAGGTCGGTTACAAAGGAGGAGATATCCATATACGTATTGCCTAGCTTGCCTTCCACGCCAAGTAGAGTTCCATCCGGACACGAGATGAAGTCTTCAATCTTGTATCTTCATAGTCTAACAGTCCGGCCAATGGAGATAGTCCGGCTGTCCGGAGACCCCCTTATCCAGGACTCCCTCAATCATCTTGATGATGAATTTGTCGGTCATCTCTTCACTTCCTAAGCCGGCGATCTCATTTATGATAAGAGCAACATCCAACTTGGATTCCTTGACGGAGTCGGTACCTTCGTGCATATCAATCAAAGTATTTCAAATTTCCTTTGCACTCTCAAGACGGGTGATTTTGTTGAATTCTTCGGGGCACAATCCGTTGAAGAGGATATCACAAGCTTGAGCATTGTATTGCAGCATCTTCAACTCTTCCGTGATAGCTTCACGATTCAGTTCTCTCCCATCAAAGAATTCACCTTGCAAGCCAATACACACAATAGCCCATACGGCGGGGTTATGTCCAAGAATATGGATTTTCATCTTATGCTTCCAACTAGCAAAATTAGTACCATCAAAGTAAGGACCTCTACGGTGGTAGTTTCCCTTGCTAGACGCCATACTCTTCTAGGTTGTGAAAACAAGGCTATGACTTCCAAAAGCTATGAAAATCAAGGCAAATGGAGACCAAAGCTCTGATACCACTTGTAGGATCGAAAGTATGTCTAGAGGGGGTGATTAGACTACTTGACCAAATAAAAAGTTATCCTTTTCCCAATTTTAGTTCTTGGCAGATTTTAGCAACTTTGGACAAGTCAAGCAATCTTAACACAATTCAAGCAAGCATGCAAAGAGTATATGAGCAACGGAAAGTAAAGCATGCAACTTGCAAGAATGTAAAGGGAAGAGTTTGGAGGATTCAAACGCAATAGGAGACACGGATGTTTTTGTCGTGGTTCCGATAGGTGGTGCTATCGTACATCCACGTTGATGGAGACTTCAACCCACGAAGGGTAACGGTTGCGCGAGTCCACGGAGGGCTCCACCCACGAAGGGTCCACGAAGAAGCAACCTTGTCTATCCCACCATGGCCGTCACCCACGAAGGACTTGCCTCACTAGCGGTAGATCTTCATGAAGTAGGCGATCTCCTTGCCCTTACAAACTCCTTGGTTTAACTCCACAATCTCGTGGAGGCTCCCAAATGACACCTAGCCAATCTAGGAGACACCACTCTCCAAGAAGTAACAAATTGTGTGTTGATGATGAACTCCTTGCTCTTGTGCTTCAAATGATAGTCTCCCCAACACTCAACTCTCTCTCACAGGATATGGATTTGGTGGAAAGAAGATTTGAGTGGAAAGCAACTTGGGGAAGGCTAGAGATCAAGATTCATATGGTAAGAATGGAATATCTTGGCCTCAGCACAAGTGTGGGTAGTTCTCTCTCAGAAAAAGTAAGTTGGAAGTGTAGGTTTGTTCTGATGGCTCTTTCCATGAATGAAGAGGTGGTGGAGGAGTATATATAGCCTCCACACAAAATCTAACCGTTACACACAACTTGCCAATCTCGGTGGGACCGAATAGTTAAACTCAGTCGGACCGATTCAGCAAAGCTAGTGACCGTTAGGGTTTTCGGTGGGACCGACATGCAACTCGGTAGGACCGATATGATTAGGGTTAGGGCATAACGTAATCTCGATGAGACCGATTACACAAACTCGGTGAGACCGATTTTGGTAATAAGCTAACCAGAGAGTTGGTCAGGTAAACTTGGTGGGACGGATCGCTCATTTCGGTGAGACCGAAGCGTTACGAAGGGAAAACAGAGAGTTTACATTGCAATCTCGGTGGGACCGATCGCTCATCTCGGTAAGACCGAAATGTTACGAAGGGAAATAGAGAGATTACAATCCCATCTCGATGAGACCGAGATCCCTATCGGTGAGACCGATTTGCCTAGGGTTTGTGGCAGTGGCTATGACATTTGAAACTCGGTGGCGCCGGATAGAAAGAATCGGTGGGGCCGAGTTGGACTTTTGGTTCAGGTCATATGTGGATGTGAGAAAGTAGATGAGGGTTTTGGAGCATATTACTAAGCATTTTGAGCAAGAGCCTCATTAAGCAACACCTCATCCCTCTTTGATAGTATTGGCTTTTCCTATAGACTCAATGTGATATTGGATCACTAAAATAGAAAATGTAGAGTCTTGAGTTTTGAGCTTGAGCCAATCCTTTTGTCCTTAGCATTTTGAGGGGTCCATTTTTCTCATCCATGCCATGCCAATCATTGAGCTTTCCTGATATATTAATCTTGAAATAGCATTAGCTCAATGAGCTATATGTTGTTAGGAATTACCAAAACCACCTAGGGATAGTTGCACTTTCAGGCACCATGACCCGGAGGCAACGCGCGTGTCGGGGCGACAACGGGGAAGACCTCGGGGCGGTGGCATGGACCGCGTGTCACGATGCTATGGCCCGAAGGGGCGACGCAGCGACAGTGCGCGGGTCGGTACGGCCATGGGGAGGATCTCGATGCGGCAGCACGGACTGGGTGTCGCAGCCCAATTACCCAAAGGGGCGATGGCGGGAGCGGCCATAGGGAGGACTTCGGGCGGTGACACTACGGTCCAAAGGGACGATGCAGTGGCAACTCATGGCTTTATCCATGGTAGGCGCATGCTCGGGGACGTGTGTGGGGTCGGTTCATCAAACTGACAACGGTGTTGTATGCGCCATTGTGTGGATGACGCGCGGATCGGATTACATGGCAACATTGTCGGTGATGTCAGGCGATGACGATGAAGACGGGTCGATGATGGAGACCATGCGGATGAGAGCGGCTGGCAGCGACGCATGAAGGCGTCCCTTGTGCGGCGGTCTAACCTTGCCGCGCAGTTGATGATGAACTGGCCGATTTAGAGTCGACGCCGTTATCGGAGTATAGGCGCGTGAGGACGACGAGCAGTGGGCGGCGCGATCCAATCTATGATCGGTGAACCAAAAGAAGAAGACCGACCAAGCGACCGACATAGAGAAATCTGATCTAGAGATCGAAAAACTCACCAGGGCAGCAGATCACAGATCGGCGAACAAACCCTAGTACGGGTTGCGCGGCCCTGGCGGCTATCATAAAGATCAACCGCCCCAAGGGCGGCACGGTGTAGAAGCGGCGGCGGCTAGGATTTGGACTGGGATTAGTGACCGACCAAGCGACCAACAGAGAGAAATATGATCTCGAGATCGAAAAACTCACCAGGGCAACAGATCACAGATCGGCGAACAAACCCTACTACGGGTTGCGCGGCCCCGACGGCTATCATAGAGATCAACCGCCCCGGGGGCGGCACGGTGCAGAAGCGGCGGCGGCTAGGGGTTTGGACCGGGATTAGTCTGATACCATGGAAAACGATAGTGTGAGAGAAGGATTGGTGTAATGCGTTGTGTGTTGTATTGAGCCTCTCGGGCAACACAGTTGAAAAAAGGGATTAGTCTTAATGCCTTTTTTTTAGTATTCTTAATGTCTTTTTTCAACTCCGTGTTCAAAGATCTCCTGAGGACAAATACCTTGCACGCAACACAGTAACATTAAGAGAATCAAGGTTTCTATTATCGTCATGATTGCTTTGCTAACAAGGCTAGATTAAAGCAGTGGATATCCCTGAAACACATTCCTCCTAATTTGTTCAGAATGCACTGTCTTTGATCTGCATCATCGCCCCACCAACATATTATCAGTGATCCGTTTGTAGATTTGTTTTATCGCATATGATCGTACCCCCTGTGCCATCACTTTCAGAAGCATTTCTTTCCACCCGTGGTTTTTATCCTTTTCAACCAAGCAGTCTCTTTAACACTATCTACCAATAATTGAAAATTATCACTTCTGTCGGCAGCAACAATCTGCCCAAGCAATTAGCGTCATAGCTTGCATTAAAGATCAAGGAATCATCAGCTAATAGGAGATTAAATATTGCTTCTTTTTATACAAACCATCTCCACAAACTTGTACTCCTTTAAGTTCACCACTCCATTCTGCATGTGATAACAGGGAAGACCCTCGGTGCACAAAAGAAAGATGTGTTAACGCCCGAGCTATGAGTTGGGTGTATTCCTTTTTCACAAATGCAACAAATAACAAATAGCGTGATTTCCCTGCATTACATTAACAGCATATTTTTGTTTTCCCAGCAAGCACGCACCTACCAATTCACAACGCTAAGTGTTGAGACATGATATACAATCAATGGAACCCTACCTTTTTCTAGTTCTATATATACACCACCAACACACTAAAACGAGTTGTGCAATATTGCCTTCCTTTTTCCAATTTACAGGCTAACCAATCAAGCCAGCGGCAACCTATGGGCTATATTAACACACAAACGTGTATCGTCAACGGCATGTCACTGTATATCTTGCTTGCCTCAGTCATTGTTCTTGAAGAACGAACCCCATTTTTGTGTCAATCCATCAATCAGGCTGCCAGTCCGGCTCTTCTGGACTACAAGTGTTGCTCTTGTGCCATCCTCTCCATTGGGGTTCTGGGTGGGTTTCTGGGGTTCTGCCGAGCCAAATTTCCCATTCATGTCCTGAGTGGTTTTCTGGGATTCTGCCGAGCCAGATTTTCCATTGATGACCTGAGTTGAGCCGTTGGATTCTGATGCGCCAGAAACATTAGCAGAAACAGCAACATTTACAGTGCAGCGATCTGCACTTTGCACACTAGACGTCTTTGCTACACTGTTACAGGCTGCTACATCCTTACCAGGAGCATCAGCACCACGCACAGAGAAGGAGGATGCATCTGTCTCCAATGCCACTACATCAGGTGCTACACTATTTTCTTTGGAAGCAACATCAGATACAGCTGATTGAGTGTTCTTTGTATTTGACTTGTCTAAATCCTTCAGGGACTCAAGAATTGCTTGCATCAGCATCTGCGTTTAGACACAGCAGAATAGAGATTAACCACTGGTACGGTTAAAAACGTGGAAAGGTAAAGGCTAGGAAGTAGTATATACGCATTCAGGACAGATCAACCTACACCATGATAATTCCTAGAACGTCCATTAACATAGAAACAGAACACGGGGACTTTATGCATCACCACATATTGTTCATACGTTGACATGCTCGTTTCAAAAATCAATTTGCACCAAAAATCCTTGTTGAGACGTTTATTTCATAGTTTAAATAGTGATTAGGGAGTGAATAACAACAGTTTAGCTTCAGATACAGAAAAAACAAGCTTTTTACAAATCAATCATCCATATCAGGCATAACCTTCATATCTCCCAACACCAGCTTCTACTCCAACTTGACTACTCTGCACTCTAGCTGAGACCCAGCCACCCAGGAACATAGTTCTAGATCCTCCCTTTTTTTTCACCACCCCTATTACACGTTTTGGAATGCTTTTGTGTGTTGAACTCTATAGAGGCATTAAGAAACTAAAAACTCCTCAAATATGATAGCACAGCGACAACCCCAAAGAGTGTAACGGTATAACTTACTCTATCTTCATCTTCCTCAGTGTAAGGCATATCTGATACGCTATCAAATGAATACTCCACATACTCGCCATCATCAGAGGTTGGAGTGAGCATCCTTCCATTACGGCCATTGGGAGGAGTCGCAGTAGATGCACTAGATGAGGAGGGGCCAACATCACTATCCAATACCTGTTCAAACAGCAAGTAGAAGTAAATCTGAGTGGTGATGATTGATGAGTGTAATCTTCTGCAAGGTTGGTAAAAGATCAACAACACATACAAACCAAAGCATTCCCTCCAAAACTCAACAGTGTTATATACCATCGGAAGAGGCCTATTTCGTCAGGCTAATCTACTTGCAACATGAGACTTTTGAGTTCATGTTACAGCCGCCAATTGTTCATGAACACACATTGTACCAATGATTAAAGTGCAAAAAACCAATCATGCAACACGTCAAGAAAATATTCAAGTACCACCACGGATTAGTGTATTGCTAATCCTCACACATTTTCACTTAACCAGAAGTATTTGTTATGCTCATTCTCTTACGTGCCCAACAGGCTCTGAAACCAATTATAAATACACTAACGATTCTAAACAAAAAGATACCTAAAATCATATATTATAATTTAAATTACATATCAAGGTTGCCTAACGCCCATTATTAGATTCAAATTTCATACCGCAAAACGTCTTAGGATCAAGTGCAAGAATCGCTGCAACTGTATCAAAGAGCTAGTCAACACAAAACCTGAACAGAGCAGAGAGTGAGGGAGAAAATTACAAACAATTTGGGATTTTGTAGGTGATGTATTTGGAACAATCCTCACCTATAAGGTGCAGACTAAACATGACCAATCAAATAGACTGAATATTTCTATAATAAAACCTATATCGGCATTCTATGCCAAGCTTTTTGGAAGTCGGGGGAAATCAGCCAATTAGGTAAGGTAAAAGAATTTGGTGTTACGGAAGACATAAAATCTAATCCTAAGAGGTGGAAATAGCATAAAATAATACCTCAGTTCTGTCGGCCCTGCCTTTTGTGGCGGTTCCAGATGGGACCTGCAAATGATCAAAAGAAAACAAAGCTGAGTATGCTGCTCCCTGCAGGTTCAAACACAGTAAAATGTTTCGTGGCAATTGGATTGCTACTAAGATAATTTTATTCTTGCTATTATGATTCCATCAGAGGATATTAAGAGCCAGAAATGAGAACCAATAAATTAGAACACCAATCACAATGACACGGCAGAATTGCAGAATTGTTCAGAATGTCAACTAACTGAAATACCCACCTCCATTCTGCTCATGAGCCTTCTAGAACGCAACTGTGCAATGGCATCTTCTGTCGTGGTTGAAGGGGCTGCCCCAGAGCAAATATCGCAGATGTTACGTACCATGAATGATGCGCCAATTATAAGTGTGTGTCAAGGTTTGCAAATCATACCTGTTGGTGATTGAGCAATTCTATACTCTATATCATGTTCTGTATCCCAGTGACCCTGTACAGTGTTAAGAGTATTAGTATTGGTATAGGAGTCCTTATTAGGCTATGTCTCTTTCCTTGTACCCCAAGTCTTTGTATAATACTCCCTTTGTTCCATATTAAGTGTCGCTGATTTAGTACTAAATCAGCGACACTTAATATGGAACAGAGGGAGTATATATATATGACCCTTGCGCTATGCAATAGAGATAAGTTGCATCTATGCTTGCGAAGCAATGTTAGAGGCTGATTGATAATTATGAATCCCTATGTGCTAGTGTCGTGGTATAACACGGCCACCTATGGGGCCATCGGCCCCTTGTGGTTCGGCAAGGGGGAAGGGCGAGTTGCACAAAGAGCGAAGACCGTAGGGCAGCACGGCGGTGATGACACTGGCAGTTTTTACCCAGGTTCGGGCCGCCGCGGGGCGTAAAACCCTACTCCTACTTTGGTGGATTGATGAGAGGACTGTAATGTAGACGCAGCGCTCTAGCCCAGCAAGGTCGCCTTGGGACGAGAGCAGCTACGCGCGTATGAGTGTACAAAGGTCCAAATCCTATCTAAGGTCGCCACGGCCCTCCTTTTATAGGTCAAGGGGTTACCACAATGGCAAATCAGTCATTATGTACTGATTAGATAGCAAACAGTGCTATCATACCTAACTCTGCAGACAGGACAAGGTGCATTAAATGTGCCGCTTAGTGTCACGTCGTGGGAGTGCCCGGCAAGCCTTGTTGCGCCACTTTAGCTGTCTCTCGCCCTGTCTGCCTGACACGCCTCTGGATGGGTGTCACGCAGAGTGGATCTTCTCCCCAAATGGCTGCCACGTGCCAAAGGGCAGACACCTAGTCACTTGGGGGCTTGACACCGCACTGATAAGTGACTTGAGTCGTTGTGCGATGGAGCGATGGTGTCTTGGCGGGGTGATCCGCCCTCGGCGTTCCCGACAAGCTTGCCGGGCGAGTCTTGGGACTTGTCTTCGGTGCGACCTCGCCCTGGCCGGGCTCGCCTGCCTGGCAAGGGAGGTTTCCCTTAGTGAGATCTTACTCCCTTGGTTCGTCTTGGTCTTCTTGATCCGCTCTTTGATCCCTCAAAGAGCTATCTCTTCTGTTTGGCCTTGTCTTGGATGTTGCAGCTTTGCTCTTGGGCCTGTGTACAGTCCGGGCAACAACACACCAGGGGTTTGTTGCACCGACAAGAGCCCCCGGGCCTGGCCCAAACGCTGCCGAGCGTCGTCGTGGTAGGCCCTATCTAGTACACAAGCGAAGAGTTGCTGGTAGCTCACTTCTTGAAATTTCCTTTGCTTCTTCATTAACCTGTGCTTGAGTCAGTTTCCTGTTTTCCCGCGCGTCGTGCCAGACGTTACGGGGGAGATTTAAGTCACGATCTGTGGGCTACCCACGTCCCACGTTCACGAGGCAGTAACTGCCACTCCACTGGCTTCCCCGCCCTTGGCTCCTTTTGCCACGTGTGCTGCATGCACTGCGCAGAGTTGGTGTCGGGCGCGGAGGGTGCGGGAATGAGCGCCATGGCAGAAAGCCGGGCGTCGGTCTTGATTCCGTGCGCCGTCAGTGGCATAGAGGAATCACACCGGTGAAACGGGGCGGTTGCTTTCTGGGTGAGGAGCCAGCCCTCGGTCCTACTCGCCTATAAAAGGGAACGTGGCGAGGCGCTGACCCACACCATTCCTTCCTTCTTCCTTCTGGTACCATCTCTCCACAATGGCGAGGGGAAGTGGGCGCAGTAGTACTCCGTCGGTGGCGACGAGGGTTTTTGCTCGACAACGCCTCCCTCCTCCTGCTGGGGACGCAAAGGCGGAGCCCGCCACAAGGGGAGGTGGGAGAGGACGCGGACGTGCCTGTCGTGGTGTTCGGGGTCGAGGAGGGCGAGGCGGCGTCTTGATCGCGACTCCCTTGGCCGTCCAGAACCCGGATGAAGGCCACGTCAGGGACCAGCCATTGGAGTTCATCGTCAAGCTGCGCGGGCCTCCGCACAGCCGCCTTCGGCTTCCTGCCCCATTCGCAAAGGTAATGGAGGTCGAACAGCCAACGGAACTGAGACTGCACATGAGGGGCTTTTGCAACGGCAGCATGCGGGCGGACGTGGAGTTCCCCGCCCCCCATGTCATGCTCCTCAGGCGCGGCTGGAAGACCTTTGCACGTGCCCACAGCTGCGGCGGGGCACGTTCTCCATTCCAAGCTAATTGACGCCACCTTGCTCTCCGTCAAGGTCTTCAGGCGTTCGGGTGTCGTTTAGGATGCTGCGTAGAGAGCTCGACCGACGACGAAAGCTCCTCGAGCGATAGCGACGAGGAGGACAGTGACAGCGATGACGACGGCGCCGATGGAGGGGGCGGCGGCTCCGACTCCGGCTGATCGCCAGCTATACCATCACCGTCAGCAAGAGGTAGGCGGCACCACCATCTGCACCTGCATCTCCTCCCCGGCAAGGCGATTTGTTGGCACGTTGGATGTGGGGGTCCGAATGGTGCCTCCGGCTCCTCCATCAGCCTTCCAGCTGGACCCCGGCAGGCGTCCTCGTGGCCCTCGGCTTCATTCGCCGTACCGCGTCCTGCTGGCCCTGGTGGCGGTGACCAAGGGACCCCTTCACCGCTCTCTTCACCATCACCTTCGTCCGCGCCCTCCCGATCTTGTCAGGCTCCTTGCCGTGAGGCCTGACGGGTCAGGCTGGGCTTCTGCACAGGCGCTCCTTTTGCCCTCTTCACCTCCCCCTGTAGCTCCTAGGAGGAGAGGGACAAGAAAGGGATTACGGGGCACTTATCTTTTTTCAATCTAAAATGTGTATGCACTTGCCAAACTTTGATCTTAATCATGTAATCTTCTTTATCCATGTATGTGTCATGTAAGATCTACTTGCTTATCCACATATTAATGAAAAAAGATAAATCTTGCCGGGTACTTGTGCATGTATCATGCCCATGCAGAGGGGAGATGCCTTTATATGTTTAAGTAAACAAGTTTTCTCCGGCAAGCTATCTTGTCAGCGCCTTTTGTTTGTTGCCGCGGAGCTTAGCCTACCGGGCACAAAACTGTGGAAACAGACCAGCTCCTCGTCGAACCTCCTTCGTCAAAGGCCACTACAACCATCTTGACCGAAGCAACATTCGGGACATAGGATGGGAGCACCTAGGCTTCGGAGGTGATGAGGTTTTCATATGCACAAGTTTTCTTTTTACAGAACATGTATGGATAAGAAGGAACTTATCTGTTTGGCTTTCCGAGGACCGATATGTAGGCTTGTCTCCATTTCTTCTCTTCGGGACTGAGTCCACGGCAAGAACCTTGCAGTTTAGTGCAAATGAAAACAAAGCTACATATGATCTTATCTACATGATCATGCTATGCTCATGATATGCTTATGCATGCATGCAAGTTCTTGGGGGGGGGCCGGCGCTTCATTTATTTATCTGCTGCTCAGGGTTGCCCCTGGCTTTGTACAAAGGGTTACATGCAACATCGACAAGGCTTGTACAAAAGGGCGGCTGTCGGGCGGCAGCATCGGCAAGGCTTGTACAAAAGGGTGGCTGTCGGGCAGGGCCCGGCAGCCGCGCCTTACGGGTAGAACTTACGAAGATGCTCAATGTTTCATGAGTTTTGCACCGTGATGCCATCTTCGGTCTCCGGATAGACCGCACCAGGTCTGGTGACTCGTACCACCCGGTAAGGGCCTTCCCACTTTAGCGTCAACTTGTTGGAACCCTTGGCGGACTGAACACGCCTAAGGACAAGGCCGCCTTCCTCAAGGCTCTGGGCATGGACCCTGCGGCTGTGATAGCGACGCAGGGCCTGCTGGTATCGTGCAGCACGTACAGCAGCCCGCAGACGGTTCTCCTCAAGTAGCACAACGTCGTCACGCCGGTGTTGTTCTTGCGCTACTTCATCGTAGGCAAGCACTCGAGGTGACCTGTATGAGTTCCGTGGGGAGCATTGCTTCTGCCCCATAGACTAGGAAGAAGGGAGTCTGGCCGATAGCTCGATTTGGTGTCGTACGGAGGGACCAAAGAACCACCGGCAACTCGTCGATCCATCACCTACCACACTTTTGCAGCCTATCAAATGTTCTTGTCTTGAGTCCACGCAGCACTTCAGCGTTCGCCCTCTCAGCTTGTCTGTTGCTTCTGGGATGGGCAACAGAGCAGAATGAGACCTTGCTTCCGAGGGCATGAACGTATTGCATGAAGGCGCGGCTTGTGAATTGGGTGCCATTGTCAATGATGATTCTGGCGGGTACTCCAAAACGGCATACCCTTCAAGAACTTGATAGTTGACTGTGCGGTCACCTTCCTCATGGGCTCCACCTCCGGCTACTTTGTAAACTTGTCAATGGCAAGTTGGCAACGTACAAAAATTCAAAGCCCCCGGCAGCACGAGGGAAGAAGCCCAAAATGTCGAGCCCCCAGACCGAAAATGGCCATGACAAAGGGATCGTCTGGAGAGTTTGGGCCGACTAATGGATATTCTTGGAATGAAACTGGCAGGCTTCACATCTGGTGACTAGCTCAGTTGCATCTGGAGGGCCGAGGGCCAATAGAAACCTTGCCGGAGAGTTTTCCCAACTAAGACTCTTGATCCAATATGAGAGCCGCACACGCCTTTGTGTATCTCTGCCAATAGTTCCTTTTCTTCTTCCCGGCAAATTCACTTCAGGTTCACACCGTTGGGTCTCCTTCTGTATAATGTGTTGTCGACAAACTGATACATACTGGCCCTCCGGGCTACTCTTTCAGCTTCTTGCTCTTCGGGAAGTTCTCCAGTTTGGAGATAGTGGACGATGCGATATGCCCAAGTCGGGGCCTGCAGCTCGACAACTAGAGCCAGTGGCACCTCCTCACTAGCAGGAGAGCTTGCCTCAACCACAAAGACCTGACGTCCTGCGGAAGAGTGTGGCTCGCCAGGCGAGGTGGAGTCATTCCCGGCAACCCTCCTTCCGGGGACCTCTGAAGGTGCTACCGGTGGGGCTTACCGGAGTCCAGCTTCCTCCTCTTCTTGGCCATTGTCAATGGAGATACGGATGGTTGAGTCAAATGGAGGACAAAAGTTCCTGGTTCCACCTGCGCGGCACACTGGCAGATAATCAGCAGTGTTGTTTTCCTTTCCGCACGTGGTACGTGCTCTGTTTGTAATCCGTCAAAGTGTTCCTCCAACTTCCTCACCTCTTCAACGTATACTTCCATCAACGGGCTCTGGCAATTCTTGTTGACTTGTCTCACTACTAGCTGTGGATCTCCTCGGATGATCAGCTTCTTGATCCCCAACTCTATCGCTATCCTGAGCCCGGCAAGGAGCCCTTCATACTCCGCAGTGTTGATGGTAGCTTTTTCCCGAGGAAAGCACATTTGGACCACATACTTCAGGTGCTCTCCGATGGGCGCGACGAAGAGCATGCCAGCCCCCGCATCCTGTAGTGAGAAAGCACCATCGAAGTACATGATCCATTCCTGGGGGGCTTCCTTGCCGGGGATGATTGTCTCTAGCACCTCTTCATCCGGAGTTGGTATCCATTCTGCAATAAATTCCGCAAGTGCTCTACTCTGAATAGTTGACGTGCTCTCAAACTTCAAACCAAAGCTTGATAACTCCAAAGCCCATTCCACTATTCTGCCAGTGGCCTCGGGGTTCCTCAGTGTGCGTTGTTAAGACTTTGTACAATGCTAGTTGCTTAGAGAGGTGCTTAGGAAAACAAACCGGATTTTTCTGAAGCACCGGTGCCTATTTCTACAGGAGAGATGCCTAACTAAGCGTCTACCCTGTACAAATAAGCACCAGTGCTTAAGGAAAGACTGGTTTATTTCTCTAAGCACCTTACATTGTACAAGGCCTAAAGGAAAGCGGGTGACGACCGTGATCTCGTGGACTTGAAAGTAGTGGCGCAGTTTTCTTAAGGCCATGATGAGGCTAAAGATCAACTTTTGCCCGCCAATGTACCTCGATCTAGTCCCCTGCAGCAGGGAACTGACGAAGTACACTGGCCGCTGCACCACCTTCTTCCTCACCGCGACCTTGTAATTGTCTCCGTTGCCCTGCTCCTCCTTGTTCTGATCAGCACCTGACCTTGTCGGGACGAGTTCACCTTCCTCCCCGGAAGATACAGTAGTTGCCGTTGCTCCTTCTACTTCCCGCTGTGCCACCAAAGCTGCACTAACCACTTGATTGGTTGTCGTTAGATATAGCAACAACAGCTCTTGTAGTTTAGGAGCAACCAAGGTGGGAACAGAGGTAGGTTTTTAAGTCTTGCAGTGCTGCTTCTGCTTCCGGAGTCCACTTCATGGCCCTGCCTTCTTCAAAATTTTGAAAAATGGTAGGACGCGCTCGACGGACTTGGAGATGAACCTGCTCAGTGCGGCAACACATCCAGTTAAGCGCCTCACATCCTTGACTGTCCTGGGTGCTTGAATCTACTCAATTGCTCTGATCTTGTCAGGGTTGGCTTCTATTCCCCGGTGAGACACGAAGAAGCCAAGTAGCTTGCCGGAGGGAACGTCAAACACACTTCTCGGGATTAAGCTTCAGGTTGATCTTGCGTAAATTTGCAAAGGTCTATTTCAAATCTTGAATGAGTTGATTTGTCCTTGGTTTTGACCACGATGTCATCCATGTAGGCTTCAATATTCCTATGCAGCTGGGACTCAAAACCAATTTGCACTGCTCTTGCAAAAGTGGATCCGGTGCTCTTTAACCCAAAGGGGATCCGTACAAAACAATACGTGCCGCATGGGATTATGAACAAGGTCTTCTCTTCATCTTCCTTGGACATGAAAATCTGGTGATACCCGGAGTATGCATCCAAAAAGGAAAGCAGGTCACATCCAGAAGTGGAATCCACAATCTGATCGATGCGCGGCAAGGCGAATGGGTCCTTCGGTCATGCTTTATTCAGATCCATGAAATCTATAGAAAGCCTCCATTTCCCATTCGCCTTGCGCACTACCACTAGATTTGCCAACCACGTTGGATGCAATACTCCTCTGACCAAACCAGCTGCCTCAAGTTTCTTGATCTCTTCGGCAATGAATTGTTGCCACTCCAAAGCTTGCTTCAGAACCTTCTGCTTGACGGGCCGGGCATGGAGACAGACAGAGGTGGTGCTCGATTACCTTCCTGAGAACACCGGGGATGTCAGATGGTTGCCAAGCAAACACATCGACATTCGCCCGCAGGAAGGCAACGAGCGCGCTTTCCTATTTGTCGTCGAGGATGGAGCTGATAGTGAACGTACAATCAACGCCAACCATCCCTGCCGGGACCTTCATAGCAGGCACAGCAACCTTCGATCTCTTGCTTTTGAAACTTTCCGGCTGGTCATCAACAGGCGCAGCATACTCCAGAGAGACGCGTTTCCCGGATTCCTTGCCGGTATCCTCGCTAAGCTTCTTTCCTTTCTTACTTTTCTTGGCGGGAGCGGCAGCTTCCGCGGCCTCAGCAGCGACTGCTTCCCGATACATCTTATCCACGCATATAATCGCCTCCTTCTCGTCTGATGGAATGGAAATGGCGCCCATCGGCCCTGACATCTTCAGCGTGTTGTAGGCATAGTGAGATGCCGCCATGAATTTTGCCAGGGCTAGACGACCAAGGATTTCATTGTACGGCAAGGGAAGATCAACCACATCAAATACAATCTTCTTAGTTTTGTAGTTCAACTCTCCTCCGAATGTCACTGGCAGTGTGATCTTTCCCTTGGGACAACTCCTGCCAAGATTGATCCCTTGGAAAGTACCAGTAACCTTGAGCTCTTCATCTGCTATCTGAAACTTGTTGAGCACCTTGGGGGAAATCAGATTCAACACGGCCCCGCCGTCAACCAACATCTTTGTGACCTTAAGGTTGCGGATCATTGATGAAATCAACAACTACAAGCACCCTACCGCGGTGGTGCGGTCAGGGTGATCCTCTTCGTCAAAGATGATGGGTGTGCGGGACCATTTGAGTGGTTTTCCAAGTTCCGCCGCAGGCTCCACAGCACTGACCTCACGCGCCCACTGTTTAAGCTGGCGGTGAGAGGAGTGCAAGGATGCACGCCCGTCAACGCATAGGGCGTCGGTGGCCTTCTGAAACTCCTGCTCGTTGGTTTCCTCTTCATCCCCTTCATCGCTCTCGCCATCGCATTCCTTCTTGTCATGGCTTTTAGCAGGTTTCTCTTGACGTTGGGGGACCTTGCCGGGGCGGATTCCTCGGCCGCCTTGGCCTTTCCCGCCAACATCGTCTTGGTCTCTCTCCTTATCACGCTTCTCGTACTCAGCTTTCTGCTTCTTGACGAGTTGC